AAGAAAACACATGCCTTTTGAACAATTGTGTTTAGCTTGAGGCGTGGGGATTTTAGTTGCAGCTGTGGTTTTAGCCCTAAGCAGCCCCCCAGTCAAAGTTGTCAATGTCCCAGGTTCCCCCCCCCTTCCCACCAACGCCTTACGCCAAACCGTTTTTCCCCGAAAGTATGTGTTTTCCTCTGATTTCAATTAGCGGGGCTCACAGTTAGAACATCGACAGATGCACGCTTGTCCGGCTTTAAACGCAATCTTGGCGGGGGAGTGGGGTCGGGGGGGAACCTGGAAAGTGTCGGGCCTGGAAATCGGGAACTTTCAAGGGTTGAGGGCTGAAACATATGGTGGGGGGGTTTGTTTAGGGTTCAACCCGGACAACCGTGCATCTGCAGACGTTCTAACTGTGGGTCCCGCAAATGGAAGCAGAAAGAAAATACATGCTTGTTTAGCTTGTTTAGCTTAAGGCGCAGGGATTTAGTTGCAGCTGTGTTGTCTAGCCTAGAAGTCAGCTTCCTCTTCCCGGCAGCACTCATTTTACTCTCACCAGAGGGGGGGGGGGACTGGGAAGTGGCCTGGACATCGGCAACTTTGAGGTTGGGGGCTGTTTAGGGCCAAAGCCACAGCTGCAACTAGAATCCACGCGCCTCAAGCTAAACACAATTCTTCAAAAGGCATGTGTTTTCTTCTTGCTTCCATTAGCGGGGCCCACAGTTAGAACATCGGCAGATGCACGCTTGTCCGCTTGAACCCCAAACAGCCCCCCTCCATGTGTTCTAACCTTCAACTCTCAACGCTGAACAAACCAGAGGTCAGCTTCCTATTCCTTTCTTGTGCGGCACCCAACGTCAAAGTTGCCGATGTCCAGGTCACTTTCCCAGGTTCCCCCCCCCCTTCCGCCGGCGAGAGTAAAATTAGCGCTGCTGCACTAGAAAAGAATAGGAAGCTGACCTGTAGGTCTAGACAACACAGGCAACTGAAACCCCAACGCCTTGCGCCAAACCGTTTTTCCCCGAAAAATATGTGTTTTCCTCCTATTTCAATTAGCGGGACCCACAGTTAGAACATCGGCAGATGCACGCTTGTCCGGCTTAAAACCACAGCTGCAACTAAAATCCCCACGCCTCAGGCTAAACACAATTCTTCAAAAGGCATTTGTTTTCTTCTTGTTTCAATTAACGTATCGGCAGATGCACGGTTGCCCGGGTTGAACCCTAAACAATCCCCCTCCAGTTGTTGTAACTCTCTAGCCTCAACCCTGAACAAACACAAAAGTTTCACGCCTACAAAAACGAGCAGTCCGCCTATGGTTTTAGCCTTAACAGACCCCAACCAGTTGCCGAGTTCCAGGCCCGACACTTCCCTGGTTCGCACCCCCCCACCCCACCCCCGGTGAGAGTAAAATGAGTGCTGCCGCAATTGACACGAATAGGAAGCTGACCTCTAGGTCTAGACAACACACTTGCAACTGAAACCCCCCACGCCTTTTGCCAAAACTGTTTGTCAGAATGTATGTGTTTTCTTCCAATTTCAATTAACGGGACCCACAGTTAGAACATCGGCAGATGCACGGTTGTCCGGATTCAACCCTAAACAAACCCCCCCACCATATGTTTCAGCCCTAAGCAGCCCCCAACGTCAAAGTTGCCAATGTCCCAGGTTCCCCCCCCCTTCCCACCGTTGAGGGTAAAATTAGTGCTGCTGCACTAGAAAAGAGTAGGAAGCTGACCTGTAGGTCTAGACAACGCAGGTGCAACTGAAACCCCAACGCCTTACGCCAAACCGTTTTTCCCCGAAAGTATGTGTTTTCCTCTGATTTCAATTAGCGGGACCCACAGTTAGAACATCGACAGATGCACGCTTGTCCGGCTTTAAACGCAATCTTGGCGGGGGAGTGGGGTCGGGGGGGAACCTGGAAAGTGTCGGGCCTGGAAATCGGGAACTTTGAAGGGTTGAGGGCTGAAACATATGGTGGGGGGGGTTTGTTTAGGGTTCAACCCGGACAACCGTGCATCTGCAGACGTTCTAACTGTGGGTCCCGCAAATGGAAGCAGAAAGAAAATACATGCTTGTTTAGCTTGTTTAGCTTAAGGCGCAGGGATTTTAGTTGCAGCTGTGTTGTCTAGCCCTAGAAGTCAGCTTCCTCTTCCCGGCAGCACTCATTTTACTTTCACCGGAGGGGGGGGGGAACTGGGAACTGGCCTGGACATCGGCAACTTTGAGGTTGGGGGCTGTTTAGGGCCAAAGCCACAGCTGCAACTAGAATCCACGCGCCTCAAGCTAAACACAATTCTTCAAAAGGCATGTGTTTTCTTCTTGCTTCCATTAGCGGGGCCCACAATTAGAACATCGGCAGATGCACGCTTGTCCGCTTGAACCCCAAACAGCCCCCCTCCATGTGTTCTAACCTTCAACTCTCAACGCTGAACAAACCAGAGGTCAGCTTCCTATTCCTTTCTTGTGCGTTGCCGATGTCCAGGTCACTTCCCAGGTTCCCCCCCCCCTTTCCGCCGGCGAGAGTAAAATTAGCGCTGCTGCACTAGAAAAGAATAGGAAGCTGACCTGTAGGTCTAGACAACACAGGCAACTGAAACCCCAACGCCTTGCGCCAAACCGTTTTTCCCCGAAATATATGTGTTTTCCTCCTATTTCAATTAGCGGGACCCACAGTTAGAACATCGGCAGATGCACGCTTGTCCGGACTCAACCCTTTCTAGCGCGGTAGCACTTTTTTTATTCTCACCAAGAAGCGGGGGGGAACTGGGAAGCGTCCGGAGTAGAATTCGGCAGCTTTCAATAGTTGAGGGCTGAAACACATGGAGGGGGTTTGTTTAGGGTTCAATCCAGACAACCATGCATCTGCCGATGTTCTAACTGTGGGCCCCGTTAATTGAAACTTTTTAAAGGGGGGGTTAGTTGCAGCTGTGTTGTCTAGAACTAGAGGTCAGCTTCCTATTCGTTTCAAGTGCGGCAGCACTCATTTTACTCTCACCAGCGGGAGGGGCGGAGGAACCTCGGAAGTGTCGGGCCCGGAACTTGGCCACTTTCAGGTCGGGGGTTGTTTATGGAGGACTTTTCTTGTTTTCTTAGGCTTGAAGCTCTCGGGTTTGCTCAAGGTTGAGGTTGAGGGCTGAAACATATGGAGGGAGGTTGTTTCGCGCGGCGCATCTGCCGACGGAAGAAAGCACGCTGTTGAAGAATGGTTTCTAGCGTACCACGAAGGGGGGGGGGAGAATAGAATGAGTGCTGCCGCACGAGAGAGGAACAGGAAGCCGACCTTTAACGCTTGACAACACGGCTGCAACTAAAATCCACCCGCCTTGAGTTGAACACAATTTTTTGAAAAAGCATGTTTTCTCGCGTTTCAGAAAACAGGGCCCACAGTTCGAACATTGGCAGATGCACGGTTGTCTGGTTTGAACCCAAACAACCCGCCTTCCCCCATATGTTTCAACCCTGAACCCTCAACCCTAAACAGTCCCTAATGCTTCAATCCGATATAAACAAGAGCAGTCCTCCCAGGTTCGCCTCCCCATGAATGCTGCCGCTCTAGAAAGCAATAGAAAGCTGACCTCTAAACAACATTCTTCAATAAACATGTGTTCTTCCGTGTTTTAGGGAGTGAGGCCCAGAGTTGTAGGCTTGAAGCTTCGGAGGGAGGAGGGCTAAGGACCACAGTTAGACTTCTCATTTTGGGCAAGGCTGTAGCTTCCAGCTATTGAATTGCATGTTCCACCTGGAATGAATATGGTTAAACTTTGCTGCCCGCCAATGTCCATACATCCCCCCCCCAATGTTCCAACTCTCAATGCCACAACTGGCCAGGGATGCAAACATGGGGCTCGCGCGATGTTCTAAGTCGAAATACGGCGAGACTTTTGCATTTTTTGACCTGGATGTTCTAACTGCTACTCGAATTGTTTGCTTAACTACCCACAGGTTTGACGTTCTAAGGCACGTTTGGTGAATTGTCGATGTTCTAATTTGAAGTCCGTCACTATAGGGACCACTGCCCCCCTGCGCTGTACAAAAGGAAAACTGTTCCTGGCCGAACCAGTCAGAAAAGGATTCGAAAAACGAAAGCCAAAATGTACCCTGTCTGCGGCGCTATGCCACGCGCTGGAAAAAGATTCGAGAAACGGACGCAACATAGACCTCGTTCGGGTTGAACTCTTTCTCAAAACGTGGGAACCCGAAACGGAAAGAGACCAAAAAGGCTTTCCCAAGACGCCGATTCCCCCAGGACACAGGTGGCGAGGAAGTTGCTGAGGCTCTCGCCTGGCACAAGTGAACTGGGGTTTGTTCCCTTGGAAACAGGGTTGGACACACACACACACACACACACACACACGCACGCACCCACGCACCCACGCACCCACGCACCCACGCACCCACGCACCCACGCACCCATGCGCCCACGCACCCACGCACCCACGCACCCACGCACGCAAGCGCACGCACGCACGGATGCATGGACGCACGGACCCACAGACGCACGGACGCGCGGACGGACGCACGGACGCACGGACGCACGGACGGGCGCACTTACGCACGGACGCGCGGATGCACGGACGCGCGGACGCACGGACGCGCGGACAGACGAACGGACAGACGCACGGACGGACGCACGGACGGACGGACGCACGGACGCACGACCGCACGGACGCGCGTACGCACGGACGCGCGACTGCACGGACGCACGCACGCACGCACGCACACACGCACGCAGAGACAAAGCCACCCACACACGCGCACGAGAGCGCCTCACCCCCACACACACACACACACACACACACACACACACACACACACACACACACACACACAGACACAGACTCTCTAACATGCGCACGCACGCACGCACGCACGCACGCGCAAATGTACACTCACACCCACACGTAGACACACATAGAGACCCAAGTGGGTGTCTTTTGTTTCGGGGGGCGCTTTGTTGTTACGCTTGAAGGGCAACCTATGGAAGGACCTGGTTTGAGACAGGCCCAGCTCAGGTGATTTTTTAGGCAGGAAAGGGCCTTCCGGGCAGTGGTCATGGCCCATTCGGGGGTCTCTTGTGAATGCTGATCCTGACTTTGTCACAGAGGAGAACGGCTACTTCCGGGCTGAAATGGAGTCGGGGCTGCCCGCCACTTTGCAGTTTCGTTCTGCAGATCCCAATCAGTACTATCCAGCAACAAGCACTGTGCCACCGCTCAAGCCTGGGCAGCTTGTTTCCATTGAAACAGTGCGAATGGAACCAAAGCCTGGCTTCATTTGTGGCCAAGTGCTGGATGAGGACAGTCGCATAGGCATCAACCAAGCACAGGTCATCGTCTCCGAACTGGCCACTGGGACTGGGGCAAATGAGAGGAAGTGTTTGCAGGTGGAGGCAGATGCACACGGCCACTATCGAGCAGGACCCTTGCCTGCGCACGGAATGTACAAGGTCTCTGCAAGCCGCTCCTCTTGCGAATCACGGCATTTGGTGATGAACGGCCAGCACAGCGTGCAGCTAGCGCCCGGCGAGGAGCTCAATGATGCAAACATTTTCTTGCCCGAGCTCGTGGCTTTGCACGGCGGGAGGGGGGTGAAGTTAAACATTGGCGCTTGGTTTGGCAGGCTTGCTCACTGAAGTCAAGGGCCCGCAAAAACTGAACGGGTAAAATCACTGGGGCGGTTGCCCTTTTACCCCCCTTGACAGGCAACTAAATTGTTCTTCTACCCTTGTGACTGGAACGCCCCTCAGCAATGCGCTAGACCCTGCAAGGCACGGTGACGGATTTAGAGCTTCAGCATAAGCTGAAAGGGGTGGCAGTCGTGGTGAGGACGCGTGACCAAAGCCGGAGGGGCGAAAGCGAGGAAGTCAACTCCACCACCACACGCAGTGATGGAAGCTACTCGCTTCTTCTTCGTTCCGGCAGGGATTACGCGGTGAGCTTTTCCCTCCCAGGGTATGAGGAAACAAGCTTCGAGCAGGTAGCCGTGCCTGCGGCGAGCAGCCTCAAGCTTGACGCGACGTTGCGCCAGACAGACGGCATATTGGCAGGGCGCACCTTTGATGCTGACACTGACTCACTTCTGCCCGGGGTCTTGGTCTCAGTGCTGAAAGATTGCAACATCGTCTACCAGTGCAGCTCGGATGACAAGGGTTGCTACTGCCTGAATGTTCGGCCCAACAGCTACGAGCTCCGCTTCAGCTGCGACCCCACCTACGATCCCAAGGGCGTGCGAGGCGCAGCAGTCTCTCCAGGCGCAAAGCTCCTGACGGATGTTGCGTTGCAGCAGCGGGAAGGGAGCATCGCGGGCAAGGCAGGCAAGATGGCGTGCGAATGTTTGATTGAAAGCTGGCTGGCAAGCTTGCAAACAGCCAAGAGCCATCCAAGGATTGATTCATTCCTGAAAGCTCACCTATCCAAAAGATCTGCCGTTTTCCATTTCGCTATAAGATGCTTTGCCCATTGGCATGGACGGTGTGCTTCTAGCAAGTTCAGCTCACCCCAACAGTGAGAAGTCGTGTTCTATGAACAGGTGTTTGAAGCCCGTGAAGCACGGGCAGAATGTACTTCCTGTGTAGTGGAGTTTGCTCTTTACATTGGAAGGCGCACCCGTCTGTTGAAACATCAAAATGTGTGTGCAACAGTGGTCCCGTGAAGGTGATAGATGGCGAGACCAAAGCTGCTCTCGACAACGTTGCTGTACAGCTCAAAGACGCCACTGGAGCCGTTGCTTACCAGACGATGACGGCGGGTGATGGCACCTTCGCGCGAAAAGTCCGACCAGGCAGAGACTACACCCTCCACTTCAGCAGCGCCCACCTTAGCCATACTTCTCACGGGGTTGTTGATAACCCCGCTAAATTGTGTCAGACCTCGTTCTGAGTGCGTGCCTGTAAGGAGAAACAAAAACGATAGCCTTGTGGAACCTTCCGTTCAAAGCAGTTGCTGGCCTATTCCAGCCCAAGCCTATGGCAGGGCTGTTGCGCGCCAACGGAAAAGCGCAGCGCACAGCAAGGTCTTAGCGCGGAAAGCTTATTGTATGGCAGTGTGCAAGCTTGAAGTCCAACTCAGAGGGTTCATTTGCGGTTTACAAGATCTTCCCCCCGCCCTACATGGGACCTCGCGAAGTGAGCATTTGGGGCAAGTGAGAATCCAATCTCAAGCTATCCACACCCAGGGGAGAGCTACGAAGATGCCGCCTGGACGGGGACGGGGGAACAGGAGGTCACAGTGCCGAAGCCTGTGAAGGCAGGACAAGCCATGTAGCACAGTTGCTGCCCAAAAGCCCATGCTCGATGCCTTTTTCCCGGGGCTTCCTTGGTCATGACCCTTCAAAGTTTTTTGGTTGCTGCTTTGCAGTTCAATGGGCGAAACAACAGGAAATTGTTGAAGGGAAAGTAAGAGGATTCGCTCCGAGACCCTCCAGCTAGAAACTGATGATGGTGGAGAGCCCTGAGGTGACTCCAGCAGAAGAGAAGCAGCTGAAACCGCAGAAGTTGACGCCAGGCTGAAGTTGTGATGCCTTGCGCGGCAGGAACCCAGCCTGTAGATGAGAGCTCGCCAAGAGTGTTGGGGCCTTAAAGCTTGGCTGGCGGACAAAGGCCGAAACCAACAATGGACACACTGCCAAGCGTTGTGGTTTAATGCTACGCTTGCTTCTGAACTGGAATGTGTTGAGAAACAGCAATCACATTTGTATCGGAGTCCAAACCCAACAGAGTGCACAGATCGCGCCCCCTCCTTTGTGGAATCAGCATTCTTTGCCAAAATGGACGCCGCTGGTCAACTGTAGTGGCTCTTTGCGGTCACCCGCAACTCACCACTCAACACCAAAATTGCCCGGAGGGCAAAGGCAATGGGCGAGAAGGAGGCATCTGGTTCTGGACCATAGCAACTTAGATTGTTTGGTTTGCAACCAGCAGGAGATTTAAAGCGGTCTCAGCAGGGCAAGAATCCAGCCAAAGTGACCCATTCTTCTAGGGACGCGCCCTCCACAAAATGTCCCTCCCAAATTGTGCGAGTTGGTTGGCAGCCTTTAAGGATGCAGCTGCGTGCAAAGTTGAGCGGCACGGTGCGGGATCAGGAGAGCCAGGCGCCCATGGGAAGGGTAAGGCGCTGGTGTTGGCAGATGACCGAAATAGGTATGCCTCAAAATTAGCTGAACCTGCTTGAGGCTTTGCAAGGGTGCCAGGAATCGTTTGACACTCAAAGTGATCTTTTTTCACTGTGTCTTCGTTGCCCTTGGCCGCTGGAGCCTTCTGCGCTAGGATCCTTTAGAAGGCGTCTTGGCGGAGGTCCGCGATTCCAGAACTCATGAGGTAGTGAAGTCTGTTTTGAGCGATGCAAGAGGAAGGTGGCGAGCGGAGGGCGTGCCTCCCAACCGTAGCTACGTGATTTGGCAGAAGCGGGAGCCTCACTACGAGCCCGGGGAGGTGCGGGGCGGCGCGCCCAACGTGAGCTGCGGCGAGGATCGGGAAAACTTGGACGGAGCCCTTCGACAGCACCGCGCCACCATCAGCGGCACGGTGGACGACGCTACCTTCAGCAACCGCTTGAGCGGCGTGAAAGTTCTAGCTCTCGCCCCGTCACAGGCCACCATTTTCGCGACTGCTTACACGGACAGCCGAGGAGTCTACAGTATGCAGGTACCTCCCGGCGTGTGTGTCATCAAGTTCACCCGCGCGCAGTATGAATCGGGGTACTTCCGCTCGACAACAAGCACGCCCCGGGTGAAGTATGAAGCCAAGCCGCTGACGTTGCTGCCACAGCAGAGCATGGACCGCATCCACGGCCTGTTGCAAGGTAAGCCCGGGCGCATTGAGGGAACCGCTCGGGCCGCAGATACCTCCAACACCTTGCAGGGCGTGATCGTTCAGCTAGAAGACCCTGAGAGTTCGTCGATCCTGGGAGTTTCAGCGCGCACAGACGCGAATGGCAACTACATCTTGGGGCCGGTGTACCCGAACTATTACAAGGTGAAGTTTTCGGGCCATGGGCGCTATGACCCGGCCTACCACGGGGGTGTCGAAAAGGTGCAGGCCCGAAGAGTCCAGTTGACAGCCGAGGGAAACTTGACAGGCATCAATGGGAAGTTGCCGCCCAAGAAGTGCGAATTGACTGGGCGAGTTGTTGACAGCGATACCGGCAGCCCTTTGCAAGGACTCGCGCTTTGAACTGACAGAAATTGCGCAAGTAGGGTTGAATTGGAGCTGGGCATGGCATGACTGGGTGGTAGACTGATTCAACTCTGTGGCTTAGACAGCTGCCTTGTCGTTTGGCGCGCCGCATGGGCTTTGGGAAATGATAGGAAACCGCACATTTTTTAAACCGGTACTGGTTTTGCCTGTCGATGTTTCTGATACACTCTGGAATCCAATACAAACCAGTTGGTTAGCGCACCCGGTCAGTCACGAGAGGAGTGCAAGTGACGACGAGCTCGCGGCCAGCGGTGAGGACGGACAGCAGCGGAAGGTTCACAATCCCTGGATGTGACAGCGGAAGACGCTACAACTTAGGCTTCCAGCGACATGGCTACTATTCCTCTTCGGCTGGCCCCTACGGGTTTGCTCGCCCAGGGGAGCGCAAAAACACCGGCGAGCACGACATGGAAAGGATTCCAGATCCACCGCCGCCGCCGAGAGGAGGCAACCAAGGAGGCAATACAAACTGTTTTCCTGCAGGATCGCTGGTCCTTGTCCAAGGCGATTCGGGCAACCAGCAAGTCCCAGTGCAAGACCTTGTGCCGGGGTCCACGCGAACTTGCACCTTCGACTTGCAAAGTGGCAGCATTGCTCCGGATGGTGAGGTGCTTTTGGACTGCCACGAAACGCAGGAGGATCAACATGTGCAGGTTGCAGATTTCTTGGAGGTGTGGCATCAGTCAGAGGCGCCACTGCGCCTCTCAGAGAACCATAGCCTCTTCGTGGGGCACTTGGACTTCCCCATTCCCGCTTGCAAGCTGAGGGAGGGGGACTGCATCTGGCGCATGCAGAACGGCAGCCTTGTCCCATCCAGGGTTTGCTGCGTGAAGCGGGTGAAGGCCAGCGGCGTGTACGCGCCCATCACACCAAGTACCCGCTTGATCGTGCAAGGCGTTGCGGTGTCGTGCTTGGTGGTGCATTCCGACGCACACGCCGGAGCACGGGGGCAGAGCACTTGGCTCTGCCGCCACGCCGAGTCCATCTTCAAGGCAGCCATGATCCCTCTGCGGCTCTACCGATGTTTGCCTGCTTCTTTGCGACTAGCAAGGCCGTGTGGAGGCCAAGTCCACCCCTATGCCAGGGCCCTCATCAGCCTGGCGGACCCTCTCCTCCATTGCGTCAACCACTTTGGCAAAGCCAAAGAGTCGGGCGCCCCAGCTTTGCACTTCTGCCTGCTACCCCAGGAAAGTTTGAGCAAGTCGTTGAGGGTGCCCAGTGCTTTGTGTTTGCAGCAGGGTCTCCTGGTGCTTTCGGGTGAAATGGGGATCTATCCACAGTTCAGGATAGGCCCGCCCTTTTCACAATCAGTTGTTGTGATTGAGCCACAAGTAGTAGCATGAAGTCCGGTTGTCCCTGGTGAGGTTCTAGTGGCTGCGCTGCCAGATGAGAGGGGCCTGCAGAGTGGGTCGTTGAGGAATGGGCAGCCATCTGAATTGAGATGGATTAGTCTTGGCAGGGGTAACGACAAGAAGGCTTGCGTGATCTCAAGCCAACTTTGCAAATTACTTTGCCAGTTTGGAAAGCACCATAGCAGCAGCCTGATAGGTTGGGTGCCCCCTGCCCGGCGCCTCCCTACCCGTCAAAAGGGTATTCCCTTACTGTCTAAACCTGAATGGTCCTAGTTAATAATACAAGGCCCAAAATGAAAGGGGGTGAAACATGCCAAGGAAAGGCTCTCAGATCATTCTGGCATTGACTCAACCAGCAGCTTGCATTGCGCTCTGCGATATTGCGTATGCATGCTGCGTCGCAAGCAGAAATGGGATGTTTTCTAACACTTCTCGTCTAATCCCTTCTTCCTAATGCTAAACAGTCCCCTAATACGAAAGCCGATTTTTGACAACCCCAAATCCGGGAATACGACTTTTTAGGATAGCCAATTCTAAACCAATTCTAAAGGAAGTAGTTTCCCGCCCGGAGTACGTTTCCATTATTGCGGCTACTACAAAGTTGCGACTTTCAAGCCGGAGCTCCGGGAACAGGGGGACCCCTAATGCCAAAACCGTTTTTTCCGCGGGGACCCAAGCGGTGGTTTGGCCGTACTGTCATGCTTTCCGGGCATGGTTCAGGTCTCGTTCGGGGTATCGTTCAGACCCCCCCAAGACAACCTCCTTCATTGTGGAAGCAAGTGTTGCGCTGCGCAAGTAGTAGTGCAATTGGTCAAGATGCAAGCAAAAATGGTATCACTGCCATCGCGCATGAGGACTACTGTTTGATGTTGATTTTGAAGAACGTCGGGAGAAAGTAGCGAGAGCACTTTCTTAAGACATTTGCACCTCATTGCATAAAGCACGCGAGTATCGTTTGCCAACATCAATGAATACCGAATTCTAAACTCAACAGAAGTAGTTTTGACGGTTCCCCTCGTATAGACTTCCCAAACAGAAACACATCCACACAGGAACACATCTACACAGGGACACCTGCTGTTAAATGCAGAGACAGACAGACGCAGCTGCCAGGCAACCCACTCCCAGCAAGAAACAATCGTAACAACGCAAACGTGTGTGGTTGCCAGTCGTGGGTAGGGGAGACATTCAGATGGTAGGCGGTTGCTTGCGCAACCATATTTCGGCCGCGAGTCTCTCCAAACAGGCTCAGGGCGCCGCTCAGAGAGCGGTTTTTCCCATGAGCGTGGTCGTTTTCCAAGTGTACAGTGTAGATTCTGCGGACTTTTCCAAGTTGCGCGCCCGGTAAGGTCAAAGTGGCCAACAGCAACGCGGTTTCTTTCAGGTTCTGACCTTGGCTAACCTTGTGATCTTCTGCAAGAGAAGGAAGCAGCATGACTTTGCTGGCGACATGAATCTCCATGAATCTCCGAGCGGGCAAACAAACTGTGTCAAAGAATATCGCGAGCTGATGCAGGTTGCACCATGTTGCGTCGCGCACGCGGAGCTGGCGCATGCCGCACCATGAAGAGTAGGAGTAAAGCATGTTTGTGCAAAATGTTGCCGAACAACGCATTGCTTTGTCTCCTTGATCCCACATTGTGTTGAAACCATATGGCCCGGCAGAACAAGGCAAGGAATGATGCCTGCCATTGGCACAAGCGGAAACGCGCGCCCGACAGATAAGCACCATTGATTTTGCATTTCGTGTCACTTGTTTTTTTTACGGTTTGGACTAGTTCCGATTCTAACACGAGGCTCAATCTATTGAATTGGAAAACCAATAATTTCCAATTAGAAGAGATTGGAGATACCCGACAACGACAACGCCTATCCTGATAGAGGGCTTTGCGTTTTTTGTAACAAATTGCAAGAAAAACAATGATTATTGAATATATCGATGTTATAGAAAGTTATATATAAATATGTTAAAAATAAGAAAAATATAAAAAGGGATGAATATAAGAAATATTCGGATTTATAAAATTAAGTTTTTAGATTATATGGTTATTAAAAAAAAAAAAAAGATTTATAATATTGGGGAAGATATTTGGAGTTGTTTTTAAATTTTGTTTGGTCTTGTTTTTATTATTTGGTTTTTTTTTTATATTTAATGGTTAATTTTGTTTTTTAATAAAATTAATATATTTTAATAAATTTAATATTATTTAAATTCTTTTATAAATCGATATGAAATTGATTTTGTAATTTATATGTAGTGAAAAGTCGTTATAGTTAATGATATTTTTATTGAATTATAATATAATTATGATTATTTATTTGATTTTTTTTTATGGTATAGATTTTTATTTTATTTTTTTATAGTTTGGAAGATTTAAATATTTATGGTATAAATTGGAGAAAAACATGAAAATTGAATTGGTGTTGTTGATATAATTTTGAAATATTATAAATTTATATTTATTTATTTCGCAAATTTTATGTTTTTGTTCATTTTTGTGTATAGTTGTGTAATTTAATGTTAATTTGTTTTTTTTTTGTGTGTTTTTATTTGTTTGTTTATGTTTTTTTGTTTTTTGGGTTGTTTTTGTTTGTTTTTATTTGTTTGTGTTTGTTGTTATTTTTTTTTTTTATGTGTTTTTTTTTTTTTTTATATTCGTGTATATTTGTATTTTTTTCTTTGGATTTATTTAAGATGGTATATTTCTATGTTATATGCTGAATCTCTAGCTTTTTTTAAATTTTGTTTTTTTCTTTTCATTTTATATTTCTTTTATTTTTAATTATTATTATTATTGTTTTTATTTACTTATTTACTTCTCTTTCCTTTTTCTTTTTCTTTCTCTTTTTCTTTCTTTTTTTCTCTTTCTTTTTTTCTCTCTTTTTCCTCTTTTTTTTTCTCTTGTTCTTTCTTTTTCTTTCTTTTTTTTTATTTCTTTTTTTTGTGTTCGTTTATTTTTTTTGTTTTTTGTTCTTTAATATTGTTTTTTGATTTATCTTTTTTTCTTTCTCTTTATTTTTCTTCTTTATATTTTTTGGTAATAGTATTATTAATAGAATTAATAATTGTTCGATTATTTTTATTTATTAAATATATTTTTAAAAATTTCTATTGGAATATATATAAATATAAATATTATAAAATATATATCAAATTCGCCGATTAGGGATTAGCCGAGCTATTACAACATAATCAACGCTAGCTATCTAAATGCCAGATATAAAAACCAATCAAATGTCAAGCATAATCTTAATATCACCCCGTTTCTCCTACAAATCGCCATATATATTCGAAATCAAGATTCTAAACCCAACGTATTATAAAAGCTCGTCCTACCCGAATCTTCTTTTTCCATATTCGAGCTAACGAACGACTAACAATCATAAAATTCCGAACAAAAAATACCCATAACCGTATTTTATACAATATTCCTTTTTTAAAAATCATAAAATTCCGAACAAAAAATACCCATAACCGTATTTTATACAATATTCCTTTTTACAAAAATACCATATATAATACAAAATCCATATCTCACCTTACAACACATTATGCCAACCAACAAAATAATCGGTATAAATATTACCCAAAATATCCCAAAATTCAAATAATATATATCAAATCCAAATGAATTAGTATTATCACCTAAGTTATTATATATCTATATTAATAAAATATATATAAATAAAAATATAATAAATAATATATATATATATATTCCAATAACAAAATCTCAAAAATGTTATATAAGCACAACATTACAACTACAATATCAAGTTCCTCCTGCTTGCAACTGTACATTCAACCAGCTTTAAAAGAAGAGATTGCGCTAGCACCACACTTTCCCAGCGCCTGTATCAGCAAGACCCCAACGATCAGTCGGGCCATCTCCCCCATCTGCAAACTATCTATGGCATTCCAGACCTCGCACAAGAGGATATTACGAAGATAATTATCATCATCAGAAGGACGTTCTCATCATCAGGAGGACGTTAGACACTAATGATAACGCCAAGGATGCCATGATAATAGCTATCCTCATCAGGCGACCCGCTGCCAAACGAAATAAAAATGGCGCTTGTGGGTTGCCGTTGTTTAGGGGCATAGCACTGGCTTACAAGCTCCACCAAAGCTATAGAAGTGCCAATCAACCTTAGTCAAAGCAGACCCACTTTTTCCCAGAATGAGGGATATACAAGCCAGGTTTGCATACACACGCAAACCGACGCACCTGTACTATGGGCTGAGTTGCGCCCTTTTGCCCGTAAGGCTAGGGCCCGGCCAAGCGGGAACGATCGACTAACTTCGCAACGCACAAAGAGCATTCAAACAATATATACATATATAATATACATATCAGCCCTGCCAGGTAATGGTTGCTTGTTATAAAAAACTGCCATTATGTGGCTTCATCGGCAACAAAGTCGCATGCAAAGTCGGGCAAACCCATAGCACAATGCATACATATTCCAATTCAATAATGAATTCCAGCAAAGCGGCTCAATTATCCTTGAGTCTGCGGGTCTCTATGTCTTACTCAAAGATCATCCAAACACCGAAAAAGACGAAATGCATCACGATGGCATAGTACAATCACAAACATGACTGTGATACGGTAGTAAACATCTCGGACATTTTGCGCGACTTGTGTTGTTGATTTTCGGAGCGGAGAGCAGGATTTCAGCCCAGCTACGCTCCACCTCAGCATGTTCTCGCTCTCTCTCTCTCTCTCTCTCCCTCTCTCTCGCTCTGGAAACAAGTGCAAAAACATAGTCAATCTCATCTTTCTTTCGTGTCGCTTGCATATTTGAGACACACCACCGGTACAAATGGTTCTTCCAGCTCAGCCTCCAGTGTCGTCCTCTCATCGGCGGCTTTGGCCTGGCACGGCGCAAGCTTTTTGCCTTCCGCTTTCGCCCAGTGGAGCCTGGGGGAGCTTGGCGTCCTTCTCTTCTTTCTTAGGCTGAGCCTTTGGCTCCACCTGGGCTGCAAGGAGACGAGCGGCGCCGCACAGGCCCAAGTCGGCCTGCAATTGATCGAACTCTTCCACCACAGCCATGAGCTTGCGCAGCATCTCTTCGGCCTGAGAAAAAGAAAAAAAAGAATAGTGCAACTTGCTCGGAGAAGGCTCCAAGCATATCCTGGCCTGCTTGGGATCTCGCTTCCGCTGCGCAATCAGCTCCCACAGACCTTTGGCCTCAGCCTTGAAGGCAGCATAGCCCGATCGGCCCAAGCGCATGAGCTGATGAAGATCGTGGAGCAAGCTGCCACGATCATGGGCCATTAGAAAGTCGGAGATGACCTGAAAGTGGAAACCGAAAAATATACAGCTTGTTCTATGCTCTAGCAACTCACACAAGGCCCAGAGCATTGCTTAGTGCAAGACTCCAACCAACCGCGCCACGAACTGAGCTTCTCGCGACGTTTGTGTGTTGTCGGCCGCCCGGCAACTTTATCTTCAAGTATGCATGGCAGGACTTTGACCTTAGTATTGTAGGGCGAATAGCTCATATCCGGGATTGTGAAAACATATTATATATATATATATTATAAATACATGAAGGAAAATGTGGGAAATATATATATATATAGAGTATACAAATGGTCACACCCACCTCAAGGCCCACCTTTTGATCAATCACGCACTATGTGGTCTACATGGGCCTTGGATAAGTATCCTAAAAACCAGTGTACTTGAGCTTGTTTGGTGGCATTGTTGAAAAATCATTCGCAAACTACACACACCATAAGCCAAAAACGGAATGCGTCTTCGGCTTCAAGATATGCAGTGTCAAAAAACGTTGTTTTTTGGTTTTTGGAAAAATCATTGAATTAAGGCTATTCTTTGCGGACCTAGCTGAGAGTTATTATTTCTCAGAGATCCAAACATGCACTGTTTGTCACAGCGCAAGCGTTGACTGCCACATGGGCATTTGTGATGTCCCTGTGTACGTTTTGAAGCTTCGAGGTACGTACACATATATATATATGTATGTATACATAGATGCAAATAATCAAAGAAAGCTTAGTTAGAAAACTTCCGCGATACACCAAATGCGAAACACGCGAAGGCAAGCCCCGTTTTGCGCACGGTCTCGCCACGGGGCCCGGAAAGTTCCCCAATGGCACGGCCGCGAAGACTGTTTCAGAGCTGCAAAAAAAACGTGTGGCAGGCGCAGCACTTTGTCAACCTGAGGTGCAGATTTTGTGGCAGGCGCAGCAGTTTCTTCCCACGCAAGGGCAAGCACGGATTTCGTGGCAGGCGCAGCACTTTCGCACCTAGATCAAATGGACAGAGACCGAGCAAGAGAAAGAGAGAGAGAGAGAGAAAGACAGAGAGATACGGGATAGAAAGAAGGGAAAAAGGAAAGAAAGAAACAAAGAAAGAAAGAAACAAAGAAAGAAAGAAAGAAAGAAGAATAAAAAGAGAAAGACAGAGAGAGAGAAGGAAAGAAATAAACAAATAAATAAATAAGAAAGAAAGAAAGAAAGCAAAGGACGCTGCACCTGACACCCCGACTGTGGCAGCCAACTCGACCAAAAAGGTGCACGGGCATGGGGCAGGGATGTTTTGTTCTCTTCCTACAAGCACACGGCGCGTGTCCTTTCTAGAAACTTCCGTCCCTGGTATAAGAATACAAAAATATATTATACATATACATGTGTGTGTGTGTTTATGTTGCGCATCTCTGCGTTGTGCGTGCTCTAGACTCCTGTCAATGCGCGTGTTGCTGTCACGTGTCACGGCTTAGAAGGAGCAGTTGCAAGCTCTTGTTTTGCGCAGTTTGTCTGCGGCTTTCACGGCTCTTGCCTGCATATCGCAGTGGGCACAAAACTGGCGCCGCGAGAATTGGATAAACACCACCCCTCAATGCTTCCTAAGGCCTTTGCAGGCAGCAAACTGAAAAACGAGTCACGTCTGGGATTCCATCTGCAGCGGTGTAGCGTGCACAAAGCCCCTCAAGATGTACAAGGCTGGGTCCTGCAAACAATCACCCTCTGACATTCTCGTGAATGGGAACTAAACGCCAAAGGCTCATAGAGGTTTCTTCAAGCTTTGACTCGCTGTCTGACAAAGCGCTCATCATCAAAGGGCCCCCACACGTTGGTCTTGCGCTTGTCCTGGATCTCCAGGCGATAGGGGTTCCCCTCATCCCAGAGCTTGAGGATCTTGGCGGGCTCCCAGCCGTTGGGACCCCTCGCCTCGACCATCTCGCCCGCGCTGAAGCGGAGGTTCTCCTCTGCGGCACAAGCCATGAACTCCTCCTTCAACCGCTGACCGTTCTGCTTGATGTGCTTCCCGATGAAGACGAAGCGGCACTCGCGCGGCTCTCCCGCCCATTGCCCCTGCTTGGAAGAGGTGAAGCCCCCGCTGAAGAGCATGTGGACACCCTGGAAGACGTACTTCTGATCGCATCCCTTCACGGCCAGCACACCCTTGTATCTGAAGAGATCGTTGCCCATCTCCCGGATCAGCACACCAATCCATTGTTCCAAGAGGTTCACGTTCAACTCGAGCCCAGGCATGGACCAAGCCACACTGGAGATCGAGGCGTCGTGCACATGGTCGTCCGGGCTTGCTTGCAAGAACTCCGGGTCCATCTCCAGAACCCGATCCAAATCGAAGGCATTCAGCATCAGCAGCTGTTTGGGATCCACTCTGGAGAACTCAGCGCGAATGATGGGAGCCGCCTTGTTGATGCTCCGAATGCGGGCCTCCAACTTCTTTAGCGCCTCCTCTTTTTCCTCGGCATTCAAGGTGATTCCTCCTCCCGCCGGTTGAGAACCTTCCACATCTTGGCACTGCTGCCTTTCGTCCACCTCCGTCCGTGCAGTTCCACCCACCAAATCGCACTTGTTCAGAATGATGCGGTCTGCAAAGGCCAATTGTTCCACCGACTCATTCTCTGCACCCTCAGGCTTCTCCTCATCCAAGTGTTGCTCAATGTGCGCGGCGTCCACCATTGTAATGATGCCGTCCAAACGGTACTTCGCTTGGATCTCCTCATCCACAAAGAAGGTCTGCGCCACTGGCGCCGGATCTGCCATGCCGGTGGTCTCGATGAGCACCGCGTCGAACTGTTGGACCTTGCCGTGCATGCGCTTCAGGGCACCCACCAAATCACTTCGCACAGTGCAGCAGATGCAGCCGTTCATGACTTCGATGACCTCCTCCTCGGAACTGGTCTTGTTCGCGATGAGCTTTTCATCCACCCCCACCTCCCCGAACTCGTTTTCGATGATCGCGAAGCGGAGGCCATGACCGGCATCGGACAGGATGTGGTTCAAGAGAGTGGTCTTCCCGGATCCCAAGAATCCCGTCAGGACCGTCACAGGGACTCGCGAATCCGACATGGCTGGACGCGACAGGATGCGAGCGGCAGCGAATCAGTCTTGAGACAAAACTTGCAACACCAAGGTTGCTGAAAGCTCTCAGTCCTCAACCGTTACGGACAACTTTGCAGCCCGTTGCTTGCTCTCATCAGGAATGCACAATACTGCATCACATGCTCGCCTAGATGGAAGCATTGACCGCTAGAACAAGTGCGTCTTTGGCGATGCTTTGCATGCTAGATACAAAGATTCAGTGGCGCAGCCTGCCACCATGTTAATACCTGGGTCTTCCAGCATGTACAAAATTATCGCTGATGAGTCAAGAACTATGTTTTTACCCAACT